TTAATTGGTCTACCTAATATCCTAGGAAAAACATGACTTTTGACTGTGGCTAGTCTCCCTGAGCAAGCAGTATTTATTATTATTGGATCTGATTGTGTCCCCAAGATCTGTGCGCTGACCCCCCCTCCCTTCTGGGGCATCCTGGGGATAAAAGTCAGTCGCCTGCACAGCGCTTTCCCCTACTCCCAGGACCCTGTGGGATTCAAAAGCTATGCAGCAAGTGGACTGGGTTAGCAAGTCCACACTGAGTTGAGATGGGGAGGATGCTCATGGTCCTCCAACCTACCACCTTTCCTGCAGAGCCCGCTCCGTGGTAGGAATTTTCTTGAAGAGGGGTCCCTAGGGCAGCCATGGTTAGAGGTCATGCCTACTAGCAGGAATGGCAATGCCAGGGGCACAGAGCTACTGTGGAGACAGAGGCATCCGGGGACCCTGCAGCTTGGGGCAGGCCCCAACATTCATTTTGCAGGTGGGGAAGGGTGTCAACTACACCCCATCCCCATTAGAAAGATTAGGGAGCAGGGAGTGGGCAAAAAAAAAAAAAAATCACAAATCAAAAAAATATACAAAACTTTTTATTTTTTTTAATTTACTCGTTGCTAGTTATTTACCTTCTTCCCATTTTATAGTCTTCAATTACTAGCAGATTTTTTTGAATGTGTTTCTTTAATTTCCAAATTGTTAGTAAAATCTGAAATTCTATATAGATTTAGTCTACTAATAAGTTTCGCGTTTAAAATGCTCATCTGTGCCGAAAGAGACAAGTCCAGGGCCCTCAATAACATCCCTACTGTGAGAACAACAAACCTCAAACAGAGCTGATAAATGAATAGACTGTGTATATTTGCAACGCCCCCCTCCCCCCAGCACCTTCCAATATATTGAAGTTCCACAAGTCATTTGAAACCATTTGAGCAGGCTATACTCCTTCCTCGGAGACTGGAGTTCTAAGCCCGTGGGCTATGTGGTCTTAAATCACTTAGATGCTTTTAAAAAACTCAACCTCGGGTGCCTAAATATGGATTTAGGAGCCTACCTTTAGGTGTTTATTTTTGAAAATTTTGGCCTGTGGGTTTAAAAGACTTCTCTATAACCTTGTTAATGTGCTGAAAGCTTAGATAACATTTCATTGTTAACACCAAAGCAATTTTGTTTTGGAATGATGACGACTTTTTTGCCGCTAAGATAAATTTTAATAAAAATTAAATTTTAGCCCTTGATCCTGAAAACACGTAAGTACATGAGTAGTCCCATTGAAATAAAGTTACATTCCTGCTTAAGTATTTGCAGCAGATCAGGATTTTAATTGTCAAGGTTTTGTTTTTTGCCTGTAGCAGTTTTGTAAAATTCAAATAAGATACCCTGCCTGTAGTTGCATTTAAAAAAACAATAATGTAATGAGAACGCTGAATCTCAAGTCGCAATAGTGCATCATTTCAAATTAGCTTCACAAAGTCTCAACATGACTGAAATCATTATTTTAAAAAAATCAAGGGATTTAAATTATTTTAAATTAAAGTGTAATTCATTCAGCCATTGATTTAAATCGCCTTGATTTAAAACCACTCTACCCTGCTGAGGAGGAACTCCACGAGGGGCTCCTCGGGAACAGTACCTCCCCCGTAGCACCCGTCTGTGGGTTTTACTGCAAGATGATCCAGCCCGTTAGTATTGCTTATGTACAGGCAACGTGCTTATTAAACGAGCAGCTACAAACCTGATGTGGTTTAAACATGACCGTAGTTTTTTTATTGAACTTTAAAGACATCAGCAAATTTAATGAATTTTACATTTTAAAACCTGTGCTTACTATATATTTCTGCTGGTACAAAGCTTATTCTGGCTCCATTTCAAGAGACGGATATTGTAGAGTGCAAATGCACATATTTGATTTATCTGACCTGTTAAATCTTAAAGCAGGCAATGAGTGACTTCCATCTCTTATTTCTTATTTGGTTATTTCTGTCATTTTAAACAGACAAAACTGTTGTTCTCTCCAGATAGTAGCCATTGCCAAAAAAGAAATTAAGTGAGATCTATAAATTCTAAATTATGCAGACTATGGACAATGACAATCTGGACAATGAAAATGGTTGCAACTACCACAGAATGAAAAGAAATAACACAGTTGCTTCTCTAAGACTCAAGCAAATCAACAGTCCACTAATTTACCCCATATCAGCTCTGGCTTTTCTTTCACTGTACTCCACACTTCAGGTGCTGGAATACTACACACTTTAAAGCAATTCACATTTAAACAGCTGAGATTTTTGAAAGTTCACTTAAAACTTTATTTGTTCAAAGGGACACTATCAAGTTCGAAAGTCACATCTGAAGCTGAAAAGTTTGTACCTACTTTTGTAACAAGTGACCCCTCTCCCGCAACATTAGAGGAAAATGATTTGTTAATGTTTTTCATTTTATTCCTTTAGGCATTTGACAACACTTTGTGTATAGCTAATATCACTGTTCTGTTGATTAGCCAGTTGCACTTCCTGTAGTGGGGTACAGTGATATCACTTCCATACAACTGCATTGACAGGAGCTAACAAATATGCTCTCCCCACAACTTGCAAGAGAGTGTTTAATCAGTAACAGCAGCAGCAGAGCTGAAATCGAAGCAGCAGTATGCATGTGCACCCACAGAGAGGAAGGGAGGAATATTTAGAACATGTTTTGTATTGTTGCTCTTGAGCCTCCTGAAAAGACTCTTCTCAACATCAGCAACGGAGCCAAAAAAGGTATACAATTTTTAAAGTATGTTCTGAAGGGAAAAAAAGAATTCAGGACATGCTATTTAAAGGATGCTTTGTCAGAAAATCAAACCAAATATTTAAGATGACCATATCCTTTCAAACGTACTCCAGCGCTGTATGTGAGTGTGTGGAAGCTGAAACAAGGAAGAAATGAAGCAATCTTTCACATCTTATTACAAGGTCCATTTTTGTTTTGGCCTATTTCTTGTTTTGCACAGCTCCAAGTCACACAAATGAGCCATGCAAAAGAATTCTCTCTTTCTTGTGGACTTAGCAGAACCCTTAGCCTCTAGTGAGTGGATGGCTGTGACACACTGGATATTTTATGTGAAAGCTGGAGCTTCTCCCTCACAGGTGAGAGACCCGGCCCATAGCTCTGGAGTGGAGAGTTTCCCTATCACTTTAGGAAAGAAGGCAAGTTTATTCTTCTAAAGGACCTCTTTCATTCTTTCCATGGATACTGCCCTGAACTAGTCAGTAAGGCTATAAACCTTCTCTCTTTCAAATCCCTCCCAGACCTCTGCTGCAATGCCTACAAGAAATCAGCCAACCACTGAAGATTAGGTCAAACGTACAATTAAAAAACCAACGATACTTATGTGACTCAGAACCATCAAGCAGGGTGCGTGGTTAGACTGTGTATTCATGTGACCTTATTACTGTTACCCTCTTTCTACCTCCCCTGGTTCCTCCCTGTTTGGTACCCTCACTTGTCACGCCTTGCCTTGTATTAGATGGCAAGCTCTGTGAGCCAGGAACCATTCCTTCCTATATGTTTGTACAGTGCCCAACGTGATAAGCACTTGTCCTGAGTGGGATCTCTATGTACTACTGTACTACAAATTACTCTGGATTACTTTGTCCCTCCTCTTGGCCTTTTAGGGGCCACATTTACCTTTCAGAATGCTATTCTTTTATGAAAGTCACTTTGGCATTGGGAAGATGACAAGGAAGCAAGAAAATCCTCTGCTCTCCTCTGTTCTATTCTACTATACAACATGATCAACACTTAGATGTCTCCCTTAGAGGCAGCTGTTGAACCACTACAGCTTCTCAATGATATGGCTAACATACAACTCTGCTGTAGTAATTGGACATACAGTTAACAAACAAGGTTGGACTATGAGCCCAGGGGAGCCCACCTCTCCCACCAAAGCAAAGTACCAGGGAGGGCAAAATGAGCTGTCTCTCAGTGATCATCACAGCTGCATGCAGCCTAATGAAACGAGTCTGGGCAGAATGAGGGACTTTGGCTCCACTGGAGGAGTGAATAGTAGATTAATGCATGGGATTTCTGAGAAAGCTCTTTGGGGTAGGGATCTTCATACCTGTCAGCAAGGCAGAGGGCACACAGTTTGGATTATACTAAAAAGTAATCATAAATACATAATACATCTTATCTGCATTTGGGATAATACATAACTGGAAGCACCTCTATGTTGTGAATATGGGCCAAATGCCAATATTTTACTGAATAAAGCACTTTCAATATTAAGGAAAAATCTTTTATCACTTTCTTTTTGAAGGACTCAAACATCTGCAAACCAATTTTTTGTCTAGTTTATGCATGGCTTAGGATACTAATTGATGCTGTAATGACTGACCTGCATTTTACACCAAACATACAGTAGCTACGATGCACAATGCTGACCAGTGTTACATTATTTCTTTCTGCACTGAGTAAAAATTCCATATATAACAGAGCTGGAAATAATTGTCTCATTTAGGTGCTAGGCCAAAGTTGAAGTGCCTCCAGAAATTTGGTTCTCTTACAACTACTGTACGCATGAGAGTGTATGATTTAATTTGCAATTCAAAACTTATTACATTTTCAGTTATAAAATAAATTATTTTTCACAAAGGAGGGTGTGCACAGACTGAATTGAATATTATAAACTCAAAAATGTGAAAATCCCCCCAAATATAGAGTCCAACACCTTGTCTGTGAATCATACTGACTGGCTTATTTTTCTCTGCAGTTTTAGAACCAGAAAGCTATTGTCTTTTGGATTTTAGCCATTATGAGAAAAGGTAAAACTGAAGGCCTGAACTGCATTTCCTTTTTGCATGACCTGTACAAGATTGTGTATTCTACTTATGAAGACTCTCAAATACACCTGAAACCTGAGTTTTACAAAGTTCAAATGCTTAAGAGCAGAGCAGAGCAGAAAAAAGAAAAAAAGTGTTTGCTAGAGTCTATGCTCAGATGTTAAGATAATTTAGAAAGCTGGTGTCAATACTCACATTCGAACAAAGAGTGACTGTTTAGCTGCCAGCCCTGGAGAAGAGTACTTTTCAACCAATGCCAGAGTGCTGAAGCCAAATTTGTGAATGGGTTCGTTGGAATCCAAGGGTGGAAAGTCTGTGTCAACCTCACCATCGTCCTCAGCAATATGGAGACAGTAGGCATTGACATTGTCACTGAAACAAACAAAGAGCAAGTTTATTTCAGAGGGGAAGCTACATAGCCAGCTAAATTCTATGGTCCAGTGTCAATTGCTGGATGCTGTTTAGAATAAGCCAGCAGACTTCTGTGGTGTAGAAATCAAAACACTTTAAATATCACTAATTTTCACACAGCATCAAGCCTCAAACCCTTTAGTTAGCATAATCATGTGATAAAGCAGTAATAAGAAAACATCCAAATAAGGCAGAACAGCCTCCTATTAACTCATTTGTATACAAAATAATGACAGACCAGCAATTAAAATATTCCTAAATCTGTAGAAGTTATATGACTTGACAAAGCGTCAGTAATATTTCTTCCATTTGTGAAAACATATTTTATGAGGTGACAGTTACATTTTTAGAATATAATCTCAATGAGCAATATCTATGTTCTTCTGTTTTAGATCTAGTAACTGTGGAAAAAAGCTCTTACATATAAAAATATACTCAAAGGGTGCAGTATGGACACACATGTAAACAGTACAACAAAAATATGTCAAGGGAATATCTACATGAAAAGTCAAGGATTTGTGTTCAATGTAAACTATTATTATGGTGGAAAGCAAGCTACACAAAAACACCTTTTAAGTTCTATACAGCCCAATCAATCAAAGTAGTTAACATTATTATGCATTAATGCCTGAAATAAATATACACAAGTTTCTCAGGCACATGCCGGGGGGAGGGCACGAGAGAGCGCTAAACCAGTTTCTTTCCACAGGCTAGAATCACAGAGATCTAGCTCAATATACACAAAACATAATAATGTTGGCTCATTATCACATTGATCATATTAAAATGTAAACTCTAACACTTATATTGTTCAGCTCTAATTTTATTTTATTTTTTTTACTGTACTTCTACTTCTAGAAGCATGAAGTATAGCCTCAGTGTTCACATGGCAGTATGTTTCTAAACTCTTCAGTTTAAATTTGGAGTTTTAATTGCATGATTGATGCTTAAATTAATTAATTGCAAAGTGTATGCTAATTGTTTAATTGGTCGCTTGATCTATATAGATCATTTTTTGAATTAAATGAGTTGATTTACAAAGTTTATTGATTGGATGTGACAATGAATTATTTCGCTGACTACCTGATTTGCAATTTTCTCAATTAATTCACAAACCTTTGGTTGCAACTGTGCTTATTGAGAGCGCTTACTCCAGGTGATCTATATGCATACTGTCATGTCTAAGATATTTATTATATAAAATAGGTAATAATGACACATTAATATTAATGTAAACTGTAAATTTGCTAAATGGATGGCTAACAAGATAGTAATCTAGCAATGTTTGTCACTATAAATTTTGTAAATTCTGTAATGTTGTAAAAGAAATTTTTATGAGCCTCTCAACTGTTATGAAGAACTGATACATCATTGTAGAACTAATTTTAAACTTCTTCAAGAACACAGCAGTAAACTTTAGGAAAACTGATCAAAGGCAGGACTGGCAACAGAATTTAGAAATGTACAGGAATATCAATTTAGACGGAAAAGATGCATTTCAGTCTGTATTTCTATTAACACACTATAGTGTAGTTCTGCACACTCACTGTCCTCCTTTTAATAAAGCTAATAAAAAATCAGCCCATCCCTCATTCCATGACACATTCCAGTGTGAATGCCCACCTGGCACTCATCTTTGTACTATACTGTTCTGAGCCATTCCTGTCTCTGCCCTTAGACTGCTAGCCCTTCTGAGGCAGGAACTATTTGTTTGGCACAACTCCCCTAATGTACAAACGTTTATGGCTCTGTATAAATAACATTAAAATGTCTGTTTTGTACTTGCCACATGTACATAATTCCCATTAAAGCTAGGGGGAGATACAGGCATGCATCAGAACACCACATTCAGTATGGTCTGAGAGAGATCCCAAAGTGCCAATAACATAATTATCAACACTGAAATGCTGTCCTCAATCCATACGTGTCCTCCTCGACTGCAAGTACACGACGTCTGTCACGTGCCATAAACTGACCATGCTTCAGATGTCCCCAAATAGCAAACAAAAATTTTTGCGGAATAATATAGGTTTAGACACAACTCTGAAATCTTCTTATTTTTATAAGCTAAGTCAGAATTTCATTAGTTGTACACATTTGCGTTTGTTTTAAAAAAAGGAAATCTCTTATTGTCAATGAAAAAGGATAAGCAAAATATAAATGACAAATTATAGAGCTGGAGATTACTTTGGAGCAAATACTTTACCGTATACATATTAAGTTGCAGAAAAAGTTAGTCTACTGTACCACGTGTATATCCACTTGCTAGTGCATCAGAGCTAATACACTGTGTTCCTGATGAGCTGGTATTAACACAAGATATTAGCATAAAATAGATTAGGTTCTAACAATTGCTAGTGAAGCTGTATATTATATTTAGTAAGTACACTATTGTGTGTAACCTATGGAAAAAACAAGTCTAGTTGGTGCAAATTTTACACATTTTTAATCCAGCATGTAAATTCATGTACACTGGGATAAGATTAAACCCCAAATTTCAGCTAAATGTATCTGAAAATGTTGAAGGTCCTGAAAATCTGAATTTATTGTAGATAGAATGAAGAATTTAACTGCAGTGAGTACCAAATTATAGGTTTTTAACAATCTAAAATAAATAAATCTGTGGTTCTGAAATTTTTTGTACCCGTTTTTATTTCCACATACTTTTTGAAGGCAGAATCAGCAGAGCACATCCATCAATGGTTAGCAACGGAACGGTCCAGTGGGTTATGATTCTGAAGTTCATATATAAGAGGCCAGGGACAGGGTTGCTAACACTGTCAAGGCTCTCTCGTATCAACAGACACTGAACAGAGACAAAACTACCAAATGGCAGGCCAAACTGGATATAGCACATCCTCAAATCTGTCAACTATAGCTCACTTATTGTGGATTATTAGGTCAACATTTTAGGATAAAGAAATTGACAGCAAGATATTCCTCTCCTGAAAGTGGGGGCTGCACTTTCACAATGAATAGCTCCTCATTGTTCTACTCTAGTCTGATTAGCAGGTATGCCTATTTTCTGTATTTTTATACCAGATTACAAGTTGGTATAACCCGCACAACTTTTAATGCTTTCTTCAAATTGATCCTCACTCTCGTCCCTTTGTCTGTAAAATGACTAGCTCCAGAGCAAACAAAATGAAAGGGAGAATATCCATGCTGAAAAATACGGTTTCATTGTTTCCTCACTGGTCTGTCTGTAAACACTGGCTGCCTCTTGTTTTAGATTATAAACTCGTAGGGGCAAAAACCGTCTTTTTGTTCTGTGTGCCTGGCACAGTGGGGTCTTGGTCCATGACTAGAGCTCATAAGTGCTACGATAATATAAGTGATAATAAAATAAATAATAATATCTACAAAACCTTACTTCTATGCATTCCCTTATTTAGAGATGAACTCTGTAAAGTAACAGAGTTAAATTGACCCTTGCCGATGGACAGGCATTGAGCTGCTCTGACAAAATGAATCAAAGAAACATGAGAACAAAGAAAAATACTTATAAATCATATTGAAATTTTGAGACTTTGCCCTTTCCCTGAACCCCCAAGTCCAGGTTCTTATCTGCTACAATGTCCCCCAGCTTTCCCACTAACTCCTCTCCCTGTAGTGGGATCTGGGGGCATTTGACAGCATTCCTGGCCAAGCTCATTCCTAGTCAGCGATCACACCCCCAAGAAAGACACTGACATTCACCTCCTCCCATTGGTCCAACAGAGTTAAAGTCTGTTGACTTCCAGGACACAAGCCTTTTTCTGAGGACACTGGTATTTTATTTTATGGGATATTTTTTACTTGTTGACCTTGGTCAATATGATGTGTAACGTGTTCTTAAAAAGTACACGTGCCGAGACTTTGATACTGGTTGCATCTCACACATTTAAAATATAGTAATAATACACAACAATCACATTCCTGATCAACAAATATTTTAACAAACAGAAAATGGCGATTAACACTGGCAAGTGAAATGGCAGTGTCTGCCATTATTTCTACATTTCTTCACCAGTGTCAGAACACTGAAATGTTTAATACATCAAAGACCTGACTATCACATCTGTTCATTCAAAAGGGCTGGGAGGAACAACAGAGCCAAATCAACAACCTCCATGAAACTCAATCTGAGAGAAGGTCCACCTCCCGATGCTGCTCTAGCTCTACAATAAAGACAACAGCTAATAATCAGGGATCCAAAATAAAAGCATCTGAATGTAAATCCGAATAACCCCTCTCTCTCCTCCCCTCACCCACCCTCATGTCCTGCCAATTGTGCTAGAATTGGAGGAAAGCCCAAAGAGTTCTCAACCTACCTCTGAACAAATACAGAGGACTCATGAATACAAACCCATTCCTGAAAAATGGTAGCAAGGGCAACATTTCCAAGGAAAATGCCACGACCAAGGAACAGACTTGGAAGTTTGACTCACTAACAAATAAAAACATCTACTATACTCTGTTAGATTACTTTTGTACCAGAGGTGGTTCTGATATGTTATCATTCCATCCTTTGTTATGCAGCAAATATTGGGCAAATATTTTTCCAGACTTTACCGTATCATTTTAAAATGAAAGATGTCCAGATTAAAAGATATGAAGTACCTATTTCACAGAACTTGTATGACCTACCATTAAAACATTACTTTTACCCAAAAAAAAGAAAAAAAAAAGAAATATTCTAAGACCGCACACAATCTATTTTTCAGCCTAACAAATTTAGGGGCAGCCTCCCCTTCCCTTCATGCCTCCCACCCCAAGCAAAGGGATATGCAAGGATTATAGCAAATACTGAAAAATCCATTGATAGAGTGAAGCTGTAAAGAATTTCTAAGGACAACAGTATCTGTTGATCTCTTATTGCACAGGTGACTCAGGCCAAGTTCTAGTAGGAAGTATAAGGGCCTAGTGCACGATATAGTGGTTTCTCAATTAAAGAATAAAGCATTATTCACAGTTTCAAATAAAACTGAATTTTTATGACTACTTTTGCATTTTTGCCAATATATTCATCTTCATTTTAGTGGTGTCTTTATACACTTACACAGAAGGATGGGGGCAAGGAGGGTACCTTAGATCTTAACTGCATTTAACCCCATAGTTGTCAATTCTTTATAAACACTGAAAAAATGATATATTCACATACACATTGGTATAGTTTGTCTATTCAATACTAAGGACTACATTAAAAGAACATTACATTTGTAAAGTGACACATTAAAAAGTTCAGATTACATGCACAAACTTAACTCTGATCTCTTGTGCATACGGATGCAGCATGATTTAGTAATCATTTATATGGTAGTATACTAGATCTCAAACAGAAGACTAAAATAGCATTCCAAGACACTCAGCACCCCATTTTAGTTATGCCATCCTGTTACTACTCTATAGGCACAGTCAGGCAGGGAGAAGGGAAAGATATTCAGATATTGACAAGCTCTTGCCACCACTGTCAAAATCAGAAGGTTTACAGATCATTTCTAGATTTTATTTGATGCACCTCTGTTTGCTCCTTGGTCATTCAGAAGTGGTTCAAAAACTAAGTCAGACATAAAAATGAAACACCTATCAATGATGCCAACAGCGGTGCGATTTATCTTAATATTACATAGAGTGTTTTAAAATGATGATTCATTTGCACATCCCTGGATTCATATGTTTATCATTATCCAGTACCCAGCAGTTTAATTGAAAGAGAAATAGATATAGATGTGTGTGTATTGCTCACAAAGAAATATTGATAACTGTGTAGGTGGTTCCTGTAAGACTTATTTATAAAAATATTGACATGGAAATCCATTTCATTATGCAAAAACGGTTGTAGAGGAGAAAACCAGAGATCAAGTAGTAGTAAAGAAAGAACAGTACTTTAGTTTGGGTTCCCGTCCTTCACTCGTGTATTGCCAGCATATTAGTCCAATCAGGTCATGCACCTTGGCATTTGCTATCGTCACAACTGTCATTGGCAGCAGTTTGTCTTGGCTTGTGTGCAATGGGAGGTAGACATCAATTTTTTTGGTTGCAGTTGTACCAACATGACCCTGTTGAAAAAACATTTTATTAAAATACATAAGTGACACAGTAAAACAGAGACAAAACAAAAGCTTGTGTAGGTTAGATTCTTGTGTACGCAAATTGGTTGAAACCGTATTAAAGAACAGGATTATTAGACACATAGATGAACACAATATGTTGAAGAAGAGTTAGCATGGCTTTTGTAAAGGGAAATCATGCCTCACCAATCTATCAGAATTCTTTGGGAGGGTCCACAGACATGTGGACAAGGGTGGTCCAGGGAATATAGTGTGCTTGGACTTTCAGAAAGCCTTTGACAAGGTCCCTCACTAAAGGCTCTTAAGCTAAGTAGGCAGCCATGGGATAAGAGGGAAGGTTTCTGATGGATCAGTAACTGGTTAAAAGATAAGAAAAAAAGTGTAGGAATAAATGGTCAATTTTCACAGTGGAGGGGGTCCCCAAGGATCTGTTCTGGGACCAGTGCTATTCAACATATTGATAATGCTCTGTAAAAAGGGGTACACAGTGAGGTGGCAAAGTTTGCAGACAATACAACTACAAAGCTGACTGGGAAGAGTTACAAAGGGGTCTCACAAAACTGGGTGACTGGGCAACAAAATGGCAGATGAAATTCAATGTTGATAAATGCAAAGTAATGCACCTTGGAAAACAATCTCCACTATACATACAAAATAATGGGGTCTAAATGATCCCTCAAGAAAAAGATCTTGGAGTCATTGTGGACCGTTTTCTGAAAATATCTGCTCAATGTGCAGTGGCAATCAAAAAAGCGAACAGAATGTTAGGAACCATTAGAAAAGGGTCAAGCATCAGGGGGTAGCCGTGTTAGTCTGTATCTACAAAAACAACAAGGAGTCTGGTGGCACCTGTGAAGTGAGGTTTTTACTCACGAAAGCTTATGCCCCATTAGAAAAGGGATAGATAATAAGACAGAAAATATCATAATGCCACTCTATAAATTGATAGTATATCCACACCTTGAATACTGCGGGCAGTTCTGGTTGCCCATCTCAAAAAAGATATATTAGACTTGGAAAAAGTAGAGAGAAGGGCAACAAAAGTGATTAGGGGTATGGGACAGCTTCCATAGGAGGAGACATGAACAAGTCTATCATATCTCCCCTTAGTCATCTCTTTTTTAAGATGAACATTCCAGAGGTTGGATTGGGGGGGGGGGGGGGAGAGTGAATAAGGAAGTGTTATTTACCCCTTACATGACAAGAACCAGGGGGTCACTCAATGAAATTAATATGGAGCAGGTTTAAATCAAACATAAGGAAGTATTTCTTCACACAATGCACAGTCAACCTGTGCCACGCATTGTCATGGGATGTTGTGAAGGCCAAAAGTATCACTGGGTTCAAAGAAGAATTAGATCAGTTCGTGGAGGATAGGCCCATCAATGGCTATTAGACAAGATGGTCAGAGTTGCAACCCCATGCTCTGGGTGTTCCTAAAACTCCAACTGCCAGCAGCTGCGACAGGATGACAGAGGTTGGATCACTCGATAAACTGCCCTGTTCTGTACATTCCCTGTGAAGAATCTGGCACTGGCCACTGTCAGAAGACAGGCTACTGGGCTAGATGGGCCAATGGTCTGATCTAAGTATGGGCTCTTATGTCCATTACAGTAGCTAGAACTAAAATGTACTACTGTAACTTTCTATGTGGAATTACTATGCGAGTTTAAATAATTTCAGTTCTTTTATGCTGTTTAATGAAATCAATTAATATCTTTATATAAACAAATGTGAAAGATTAGTTTCACAAGGGCAGTGATCTCATGTGACTTCCTATGAGAACTGAAAACCGTTTATGGAAACATTCAACATTTCCACCACAAGATCTTCAATCAAGAACGACTATGAACCCTACCTATGTCCCAAAGCAACTTCCCACCACAGTCTTCAACTTTAGCATTATCCTTGACTCTAAACTTCTGCTTCTGTCCTCCGCTTCTACCCCTGCAAATTCACCTATCACAACTGACTGTTGCAATAATGCGTATGGCACTGCCTTAATCCCCTCTTACCTCAATTGCAGCATCTCCCTTCTCAATGGCATCCCATGTGCCCTGACTCTGGCATATGCAGGATGTTGCTGCCTGTTATCTCAAGGGTACAAAGAAGCCCAACCACACATGGTCCTCAAATAATTTCACTGGCTCCCAATCATTTCAGGATACAGTTCAAAACTGCACTTTGGTTTTAAATGCTCCATGGTCTTCCTCCAGCTTACCTCAGAGATGGCCTGTCTCATTTCCTCTCCTCCTCACCCCCACCCTCTTTGACTATACATGGACACTCTTGGTACTCTCAGAAGGGAGTCCAAGGGTCACCACTCTGGTGCACAAAGATCTAAAGGGTCAACAGGCAGGGGGGTCTCTCCTCCAGGATATATAAAAAGGGGGAGGAAGTGGAAACTGGCGTCCACATCAAAACAGAAAGAAGGAAGGGGAGTCGGGCATCATGACTAGGAGGAGTCAGGCAGGCCATGCCAGCAGATACTTACAGAACTCAAATTAACTACACATAACATGCATGAATCTTATAGATGCAAACATTTCAGAAACATCGCCCCATAGCAAGAAGATTACACTGAGTGGTAACAGACGCTACACATTTTTCCAACCACGAGAAACCTATATGATGGCTGTACCTAAGTCAGATGGACAACATAACCACCTCTTCACTTCACCAGGAAACAGGATTGTAAAACAGACATGGAGGTTAAGTGTTGGTTAAGAATAAATAAAAGATGATTTCTATATGTCAAGGCAAGTCCAAAACCAATATATAACTGAGCCCACTTCTAACCATTTAAAACTATTTGGAGACAACCAAAAAGGATTAACTGGTATCATTGCATTTTATTGTATTAAAAAAAAAATCTATTTGGCACCAGGGAGATTAAGACTTAATTAAAACATAAAGAATATAGCAACGAAGATCAATAAAGTTTATGTTAGAAGAAAAATGTTTAATCTATAGCTGATAGGACTCTATTTTTAAGCTAATAATCTTTTAAGTGGGAAAAAGATTTCACAATTCCCTCCCACAAATTAACTGACATGAGGATAATATCCTTGCTTTATACCAAGAAGAGAAACCACCATTAGAATTAATCATTAGGAATTCTGGCTTTAAGTAATGGAATTAGAGGATTCAATATTGGACACCTAGGCTGGGAGTATAAAACATATTCTTGTTATAAAATAATTGGGCATGTCAATATAATTTTAAGTTATAGAACTAAGACAGTAACTTAAAAATAAAAAGTACTTTTACATTCATGGTAGATTAGCGTGGAAGTATTGTAAAAACTGCCCAAACACAATGAAGTTGAATACTTTTTTTTTTAGTTATAAGTATAGCTATCTTCTTCCCCCACGTACTCAAGGTACAGAAGAAACTCGACACATCTGTTTAAAAGAAAGAACATGGCTAGATTCAAAAGAATTTAATAAAATATGAACAGGACCATAAGTTTGTCTGGATAACCATTGGCCCTCTGCTAGACTCACTGGTAAGGGCTGCCAATGTGGAGGAAACAGACACATTCAAGTAAAGGTTTTTAATTAAGTGTAAATTTTTATATTATTTTCACTCCAAGAGAAAAACAACTAGTGAAGGTATTAAAAGCATTTAGTGGTAGGTCCAGTGTTCCCATGTCCCCTCACAGACCTCTGTACCAGACATTTTACTCTCCAAGACACAAACTGCCATGTCTTAAGCCCAGCCCCCAACAGAACAATACTTTCAACCTCTCCACACTACTGTACCCCTTTCAGAAATCGGATGTGTCTTGCGTACCCCCAAGTTTCACCTCACTTAAAAACTACTTGCTTACAAAATCAGACATAAAAATACAAAAATGTCACAGTACACTATTACTGAAAATTTGCTTACTTTCTCACTTTTACCATATAATTAAAAAATAAATAGACTGGAATATAAATATTGTACTTACATTTCAGTGTGTAGTACATAGAGCAGTATAAACAGTCATTGTCTGTATGAAATGTTAGTTTTTCCTGACTTCGCTAGTGCTTTTTATGTAGCCAGTTGTAAAACTAGGCAAATATCTAGGTGAGTGGATGGTACCCCCTGGAAGACCTCTGCATACTCTGAGGGTATGTCTACACTACAGGATTAATTCGAATTTGGGAAACAGGTTGTATAAATTCGATTGTGCGCGGCCACACTAAGCACCTTAATTCGGTTTTAAACCACATTAATTCGGTGGTGTGCGGCCACACTACCCCATTAACTTAAACACAGTAATTCGGTGGTGTGAGTCCACACTAACCCTAATTCGAATTAACAAAATCGATTTAGGCTCTACTCCGTTCGTCGAGGTGGAGTACAGAAATCGATTTAAAGGGCCCTTTAATTCGAATTAACTGGCTCTGTAGTGTGGACGGGTGAAGGGTTAATTCGGATTAAGGCAGCTAAATCCGAATTAAAGTCCTAGTGTAGACCAGGCCTGAGTTGAGAAGAGAGGGCTACTCACTTTGTGCAGTAATTTAAGTTCTTTGAGATGTCTCCCCCCAGGGGTGCTCTACTGTAGTTGTGGCAGCGCCTTCGCGTCTGGAGTCAGAGATCTTCAATAGCAGTGCCCGTTGGACTGCACATGCGCACCTCCCCTTCCCCGCGCTGTGCACGGGTGGTATAAATAGCGCTATGCAGTCTGACCCCCCTCAGTTCCTTCTCTGCTGCTGAGCCCAAACGTTACGCTCCGAAGCAGAGGGGTGGAGGGCAGGTAGTGGTACTTCAATTAAAAGGCAAAAAGGGAGACACTATTTCCTTAGCCACTACTACATTATCTCTGCTCTTAATCCAATCAACAGACATTTTAACAGGCCCATATGGGCCTGATCATCCACCTTATATTGAACTAGCCAGGATGTAAAATACCTGCATTGCTAGGTCTACTGCAATTTAAAAGAGTAAGACCATTGTGGAGTGAAATCCTCGCCTCACTTAAGCCAATGAAGTTTTCCCTT